TTATCTGCTCTTCGTACATTCTTATCAGCAGCATCCACTGCAATAAGCCTGCGTTATCCCTAGCGTTGCTCTTGGCAGAAACCTTACCCATTGTCGGTAATTCCCTATGATTCCTGCCACCCTTTCAACATATTTACTACTTATATCCATTGTTATCAGCAACACTCACTACACTCTTCCCCCCCCCCCTTCAAAATTCCGGGCTCGCAATTTTGTTGATCGTCTTTACGCTGCCTGGTCTTGGTTTTCACTTGTTGTTTCGTCTTTTCCCCACTGCTTCCATTTTTGAAGTAGGCTGGCGTTTACTCTTTTCTCTTTATTGTTTTTTGATGGTATAAACCGAACCGCGTCTCTTGGTAATGGTGTATGGTCCTTCCCACTTCGGAAATAGTTTCCTTCTGCCATACTCACCTCCTGACATATTATCGTTCTTTACATTTGACCTGATCTCCAACCCCAAATGGTTTCCATTTACTTCCTTCTCTCTGCTCAGATTTTTCAGCATCAGCCTTCTGCTTTTGTTCCACATTTCTGATAGCCTGTTTCCGCTCCTCTCTCAATCTTGTCATGTTCCACAGCTGTTGTTGAGGCCAGGTCTTACTATGTATTGGGAGCCGTGGTTTCCTGCTATACATTAACTGGAACGACGACTTCTTGGTTGTTCCTTGTACCGAGGCACGATGGGCTAATACTATTAACGGCAGTTCCGTATCCCAATTTCCTCCTTTCGAAGCTAGCCACTCCTTCAGTGTACGGTTATTCCGTTCTGTCAAACCGTTAGTCTGCGGGTGGTACGACGTCGTTCTTATCCTCTTGATATCAAGCTGCTCCAAGCAGGATTTAAATCCTTCACTCTCAAAACAAGGACCTTGGCCGGTCAGTACCATCTTCGGCACACCGTGACCCGCGACAATATGCTGCATCACCGCTGCGGTCACTGTCTTCGCGCGTTGATCAGGAATAGCGACAGCGTCTACCCATCGTGTAGCATGCTCCGTCATCATCAACAAGTATTGGTTGCCACTACATGTCTGCGGAAATGGTCCCATTAAGTCCACAGACCACAGGTTACCAACTGCTGCTAGTAGAATCGACTGAAGCGGCGGCCGTACATACCGATCACCTCTCATCAGTTGACAATGAGGACAACCCAGCAAGTGTTTAGCGACATCTCTCATACCTGGCCAGTACGCACTTTATCTGAGGTCAGCTGTCCGTGAGACACTTGTATGAGCTAACTGGTGGCATTCTTGTATCATTTTGTCGCGTAAACATTTCGGGATCACTGCCAACCAGCTTCCGTCGTTTTCTCGCCACGTCAGCATTCCATAAGTATTCATCAATAGACGCTGTTTCTGCGTCTTTCAGTGTCGGGTCCGACTTCTGAAGGCGAATGAGTCTTAACGGGTCCTATTCCACTGCATGTACACCATATGCGATCTCAGGTAGCTCATTTTCCTCGTCAGATCTTGATAAGAAGTCTGCCAACCAGTTTTCTTTCTCTGCCACGTGGCCGGTTGTGAAATCGTACTCTTGCAGTCGTTACATCCAACGTGATAATCCTCCTCTGGGGTCTCTCACTGTCTTAAGCCACTGTAGAGGTTTATGATCCGTTTCAACATGGAATCGTTGACCGAGGAGGCACGGTCTCCACTTCTCTAGCGATCAAACTATCACCAGACATTCCTTTCCCATTGTAGAATATTTCTGTTCTGCATGTGTTAGGACACGGCTGGCATTCTCAACTACTCCTTCAGTCTGTCTCAGGACTGCGCCTATCCCAGAATCACTTGCATCGGTGGACGCGACAAATGGCCTCCGAGGTATTGATAGTTTCAACGTCATCTCCTGGTCATTTAGGAGTTCTTTGATGTGATTAAACGTTTTTAGTGCCTCCTCCGTCCACACAAATTTGGGGTCACCAAGTAGCTTATGTAAAAATGCTGCTATCTCATTGGAATTTCTGAGGAACCGCCTGAAGAATGCTGCTCTACCCAAGAACTGCCGCAGTTTCCTCTTGGAATTCAGTACCAGAATAGTTCTGACCGTCAGAATTTTCTCAGGTAGTGGTTTTATTTTGCCGTTTGTGTCCTAGCAACGTAACACTTTTCTTTGCTACCTGAGATTTTGTTTTATTGATGCGGAGTCCAAACTCATCGATGCGTCTCAAAACAGCTTCAAGGTGTTCTGTGTGCTCCACCTCCGTCTGACTGTACACCACCAGGTCATCGCCGAACACCTCTACGTTCTCTAAATTCTCCAGCAACCGTCTCAATGTAAAGGGCGCACCTGTAAGACCAAGTGGCTTTCACTTGGATTGGTATTGCTTCTTGCCCACAATAAATGCCGTTTTCTCTTTATCGTTGTCTTTTATTGGTAGTTGTCAGTAGCCTGCACGGAGGTCCAGAACTGCAAATACTTTCGCATTCTGCAAACGATCCAGTGTCTCAGCTACCGTAGGCATGGCACACGGCTTCAAATGCGCTATGCTATTTAACTCTCAGAAATCAACGCAGAATCTATGTTTCCCATTTAACTTTCTTACCAAAAGCGCTGGCGAACTGTATGGCCTACCAGCCTCTTCAATAATACCTTCGTTTAGCATTCCCCGAACCTGGTGCCTAACTTCTAAGTGATATAGTATTCGCCGCGTTGTCATTGCTTGACTTGTCACTGAGATTTCATGCTGAATCTTGTCATAGTATCCGTAGGGATCTCCATCTCCAGTGAACAGTTTGTCGTATTTCTTAACCAACCTCATGATGTTTGAGGCTTCTGGGGTGTGATGTTTTTGATACCTAAATCTCTGCTATCTTGCTGTTTTCCTGCGTGGTGAATGACCCACACTTTGTGGCCACTATTCCTGTTCTGGTGTTATTAACTGTACCCACTTCTTCCAAAAAATCAGCACCTAGGATCGTCCGTTGTAGACACGTGATGACAATGAATGGAAATCTAATTTCCCGATCTCGACGACACAATATGATAAACCTGCGATTTCCAATGCATATCCCTGAACCACGTGGACACCAACCGCTAGCGCACATGGTTTTATGTTTTGAGACTTACTCTTATCGATCAGCGGGACTGCCGGTTGATCAAAAGTTTCGTAACGTGAAACTATTAGGACTGATCAGCTCGTAGATACCGTACATCGTCATCCCTTTATTATGCTAACGTCCCACAGGCTGTTGATGAAACATGACGAATATTACGTTGTTTGTTATCTGCAGTGTTGGATTGCCAGCGAGAGGTAAAAATTGTGAATGTGGGGAACTTTAGTGGATGAAGTGGTGAATCTCCAGCGACTGAGGTCGCTCAAACGAGGAACGGCAGCATGTTCCGACTACTGGTGTCAGAGATATTTAAAGATGGTAATCTGGACAGTCTTACTAAACACTTCAACATTAACGCTCAAACTCAACCTGTACGTAGAAGAAAATACAGAAAAATACCGACGTGCCTTTACGTACATTCGCAGCAGCACTAATATGAATATGATGCTGTGTTCGTTCCTAAAGCTGCTGCTTCTCACTGCTCTACGGAACAACAACAATCGTTTCCGAACGAAAATGTCTTGAAGAAATTTGCGTACTTTTACCTGTTTGGTATCTTTCCTAGGTAGTTCTATTTACTAACGAAATATAAGTCGATGCTGCTAAAATTTAGTTCCAAGAAGGGAATCCCACCACAATCCACGAGCAGACTACATGGTGGACAGTGATCCTCATGAACCACGATTTTAACATGCGTTTTAGTTGTACTCAAGAATTTAGTCAAGCTCACCTTTTATTCCACCCCCTCGTCAACAAACGCCCGCGAAAAAGAGTGATTATTGCAGCTACATCCTTCGAGTTAGAAGTATGATCTAGTCTGCTCAACTCCATTCGCACACTGCCGATTACTGCATCCAAGATTGAAGAGGGGACACAACGACCCAATACAGCAACAAACTATCATGTGAAGTTTCGATGACCGACGATAATGCCGATTGGAAGACAATTAAATTTCTATCAACGTTGTCAGCCCGTTTGTCATTGATTCATACCTCTTATGTGTGTATCAGATATCGCTACAACTAGAAAGACCACGGATGCATCTACAAGTGGATGGCGCTGGCTAGATAAACAGTTCCATATACTTGATCTTGACTGATACAATGTCCAAATGACCTGAAATTGTCACTCTAGCACATGCCACATACTCTTCGATGACTGCAGCAGCAAGGATACAAAAAGGCTCCAGGTGTTTGACCACCGTTGCCTTCGTAATATAAGACGTATTCCGTGGTGTCACCACGTGAGTAATGCAGAAGTTAGGTGTAGAGTTTTAGGGAAAAGAGGTAAGTCAGTTGACGAGGTTGTGAACCTTCATCGACTGAGATGGTTGGGACACGTACTACGTATGCCTAGTCACAGATTGCCTCGTCACACAATGTTGACTGAGGTGGGTCCAGGCTGGAAAAAGGCCCGAGGTGGCCAGACCAAAACATGGCACCAATGTATGAAGTCTCTGACTGTTGGTTTAAGCCATGTAGGATGATGCAGACTAGGTGGTTGGGGTCCACGGGACAAGAGGAACCAGTGGTTGGAGACCCTAGGTGATATGGCTCAGAACCGAAGTCAGTGGCGCAGATGTATACACACATTATCCTCATCTTAACAACTCTTTACCGAATCTCACTATTTTGTCACTCCTCTTTCCTTTCTTCTCGTACTTTATATTTCTTTTGACTGCATTCACTTATCTTCATCCTTCACCTCACTACCTTTTTACTTGATGTGCTGATATGAGGTGTGGCAACTCGGACCGTTACGCAATAATGCCTGGTCCTATGTTGATAATGATGATGATGATGCAGCAGCAAGTAGTGTTTAGTCAATGAAGAATTCCAGAAATTCTCGTCTACAACAGCGCCTTCCGGTTCACATCATAGCTCACGAATTTAACGACAGAATAACAACATCTACACACACAAACTCCACCATGGCATCAAACGGTCAAAAAGAACGTTTTGTAGGGAATTCCAAGTGAACACCTCCGAAAACTCGTGAAAAGTAAACTTCTGACGAAACTATCGAAAGGTTACTATTGGCTTCATACTAATAGATAATTCACAAGTACATTACATCTAATATGTGTACAGCTTCCCTACCAGTGCTTTAATTTGAACCAAAGACTACCGTCAGGGGCATTCAAAATGGATACCGGGGTCATACATTCACCTGTTATGACTGGGTCAGATAGATGGACACAACACAGTAGCGAGGTGACAAAAAAATGAGACTTACCACCTAGACCAGTATTTTCAGACAAGTTGACATAAAACATTTGGTATGGCATCATTAATTCAGCGAACGGCAGAATCAAAGCAATCCAGGATAAGAATGCTACTGCTAGGCAAGCTGTGGAGCGATTGGAAATGTAGAACTATACATTCAACACAAGCACTCGATAATGTGCGTAGAATTACTATCCACCAGAGATGTCAAAAAAGATTATTTCCTGAAGACACCGAAAACATAAACATTTTGAACAATGCTGTCAATTCTGGTCTGCTCAAGCCGCTCTCTGAATGCTTGGTCAGTAAGATTACCTAGGAAAATTATACCCTTTTTACCATCAGTTAGGAGCGGTAGTGAATGCGTTCAATTTCTTCATGATTTGTTTTACTATCGATTGAGATCTACGAGACTGTGAAGCTTGTTCTAGCATGTCCATCAGTGTATCGTAACGTAACGCATTGTACTGCACGCCTAAACGTCAATAATGTCAGTGTCAAGTGGCTGATGTTCAGAGCCACCCTGGACATGCTGTACTACGTTTGGAGTCGCAATAATTAGGCAAGAGCTTATCGCACTACATGGTTGCCTAAACCGACGGAGATGGATCAGAGTCCGAACCCAGAACTTATCGCTCGAAATGTAGTTTTCAAGCCAATGAGCCACATTTCCAAAGCACATCATTTATATTGAGTCTAGAATTGATAAAGAACAAGATGCGAATGGATCAAACTACATAAAAGATGAGAGTGCATATTGTATATGAGGAAAAAACTCAATGAAACACGGTTGAAGTACGTTACATTTATTCAGAAAAAATATATATATAAATTTATGAAGTCAGCACAAACCTGTCTAACTTTCAGTTCATTCTCAGAAAACTTTACACCCTGTAGGCCATGCACAAGACGGATAGCAGCTTCAGAAGTTTCCATAATTAGATAGGCGTAAATAGATGGCGGGGTGCTCTTTTTACTACCCACAATTTTGATTGTTTGTACCTAAGACATGAATGTTGAAGCGTTTGATAAATTGGTTATACGTAAATTAAATTATATACAGAAAGAACCCATCAGTAAAGCATAAATCATGGGTGCAAATGGAACACTTGATAACAAAAAGCAGTCCAGCTGCTAATTGAACAAGACACCAAATGATCATATTCGCCTTTTATCATCATATGGAGACTGGATACTAAAAACTAAACGATAAGCCGATTCTCGGAAAAATCCACACGAACTACACGATTTCATATAAGCGTGTCGTGTTTTTGTTGGATTATGAAACCGAGGAACAAAATGTAACCCATTGAGTCGTACTATTTTACAGAGAAAAATTTACTTTCTATGGAACCAAGATGACATTTTTGCACAAACTGTAACCAAACCAAACAGACGAAGAGTGGGAATATATTTGGATTACCCAAACTGTAATCAGTTTGTAGTTGGATAGTAGGAAAACAATCTAAAAAATCGGTGATTAACACAGCGAAAGATAGAAGAATGCCTTATTAAACTCTACACGGGAATAAAGACAGAGAAATCATTTATCATAACTTGGAAGATTCAAACATTTCTGTCCAATATTTAATAATTCTAACCTTCAACAGAAGACCGAGAAATTATCCTCATTTCCACAAATTCAACAGAAGTGAGTGACAACCTCACGGAAAGACCGATAAAAGAAACCCGTATAACAATGTTAAGTGGCTCATACCTTCTTTTTATCAGTAACTATCAACGCTTTCACAAAATCTGAGCCTCTATTCATTTTGCCAACCTTTTAGATGTTGTGCATCAACCGATATTAACGCTTACTACCGTGTATTTCCTTATATCGATAAAGCCTACGTTGTAAGTTTATCATTAGTTTAGCTGCTCCAAAAGTACTACGAAGACATACACACCAGTGATACAGCCCTTGACTGACTTTCGTAACCTTATTAAAACTATCTATTCAAAGCTTCTTCCCTTCTGGACGTGTTAGCTAAGGTTGTAAGGAAAAGAGGAAGTCTTGATTCATATAAAAACCCATCTGCAATCCTCTATGGTTAACCATAAGCGGGTACAGACACGACATATTAAAGACGATAAATTGCAAAGATCAACAACTTCGCAACACACGCAAAACTAAGACATAGAGGTCAACTTGCTGTAATGTTAACATCTAATAAATCAATAAAGTGAATGGAATGCCAAAATATTTCGTACAGTCCTCATGATAATCCCGCTTCAATAAATAGGAATCTCAAAACTGATAAATACATAGTAGCTACTGGAAAGAATTATGTTACTTATCCTCTACATTTAAACAGCAAACAACTGACGCCACATATCCACACTCACAAAACACGTCACTCTCGGTGACAAAGGGATCTTACAATTCACACAAAAAAGATAGATAACTTACCTTACCATATGGTGAACACATTTCTTTAACATCAACCGCTCGAACGCCTTGAGGAAGATTGCTGATCCATATGCATTTCGAAGAAGATACTGAAAAATTCGAATCAAGTTGCAATTACATCCACATAGACAACTAATTCGAGGCAGAAAATCGCTCACAACTACATCAGTTCGATTTGCCACACATATTAGTATGTAAAACACAATGGCGAAGCAAAAGAGCAATATCAAAGTGGACAAAACTGTACCGCAGAAGAAAGAATTCGCAAAATGAAAGTCCAGGTTTCTGATGTCAAAGAACGAACACAATTCCTTGACTGGGACCGATTACAAACCTCATTATGTCAAATAGGGATCTTCGTTGACGTCCCATTCAGCGACAGCTATGATGACTCCAGATTCGGTTCCTTTGTCAGCATTGAACCATCACTATGTGAGGCACACTGACAAAAACTAGCGGAGTAATGAGGACGAGAACAACGAATTTTCGGAGAGCAGTATCTCAAGAATCCGAGTTAAGAGTTAGTCTTGAAGGTTGGTACAAAGGTCACATGCCCAGTGAGACCGGATGGTCTGTGGGATAATCCCTCGAAAGGTCAAGCGTGAAAGATGCTCGGACCAACATTGCAACGGGACAGTTGATCAGTAATTCCCCAGGTTTTTGATGATTCTTAATCCTGACATCTGTCAGCCCGTTGTGACTTGAATTTCCTACCCCCGAATATATCATTCAACTATTAGGCTTTGTACTGGACCTATTATATACAAAAAGTGAACGCATTCTCCGACATCACGGATCTGTTGGGACCGTCTCAATATATTTAGATGCCCTTTGAGCTGCTTCCTCACTGAGCGACGCTAAGATGTGGTCATAGTGGGCGGCTGGAAGATAAGTGAGGAACGACCGCATACGTGGCTTTTATATCTGGTAGTCTGAGAATATTTCGAAGGTGAAGTGTTTTCGTAGGACGGCATGCGGTTTCCGAGGAGAATTGCAGAGTTCAGTTGAGGACGGGCTGTTCACCGCTGATGGTTGGCTTCATTGTCTTAAACTTGCTTATTTTATCCCACTGGCAACAATTATGTGGCGACCTTTATGAGTAGCGGACACGCAGACTCGCAGCAAAACACAGGCAGGCCGAATGAAGAACAGGAACTACACAGTATCGTGCTTATTCCGGTCAGTTTGAATTCAGCGGGTACAAGTAAACTCGCACGCCAGACCAATTTTAATGTGTCCTCGTCGATGTTAAGCCTACGGATAGGTTGTTTCGCTTCTCTTAACTCTTTCGCTGCGTTGTACCCTGAAAGGGAAGGCAAATAAAAATGGCCAGTGCTATCAATAAGATTTGGAATACGCTGCAACTTTGATCAGGAGCGCGAAGTGCACAATGTTTGAAGAAAGTGTGAATGTTCTCAGTCATTCCTGATATAGAAAAACATCTCAAAAATGTACACTGCTCAACATTTGAATTGTTTGCTCGAGGGAGGAAATCGAACTTGAGACAAGCCCAACTGTAAGGACGTAAGGTAAACACATCAGTATTCATGGAGCGTGTTTGATGTGATTTGAGTGGCACTTCAGCTTGCAATTTGACTAAGAGACAAGTTCGTTTGGTCCAAAGATTCTGGGTATCCAAAAGGGCAAATCAACTTGGCTGACCAATCGGTTTGTTATAAATGTGAGTTCAAAATATTTGAACGAATTAAATTAGGACGTCCGGGCGCACAGGCCATTCTAGGTCGAAGGTGATGGCTTCTAGGAAGATGAAAGCAATCTAGGAAAATAGTTCGCCACGGCAGTGTATGCAACTACACACCGCCGACACAACAGGATCGGACAGAATGAAAATCCTCAAATCCGAAACAGCAAGATGCAGTGAGAAACTGGCAACTGAAACTTTGTGTACAGAATCAACACCTGATGCGCGGAACAGGAGTGGCTCAGTATATGTCCCGGTTATACCGAAAATCCCATTACGTATATCAGAGAGGAGGTGAGATAGTAAAAGTTAAACAAACCGTGTCTCACGGTTGCGGATATACGTTGATATAGCCACGGACAATAAACTGCTTCCAAAAAGTAATGCAATAAATAATGCCGTCCTTTGGTGTGAGGCATCAAATAACTCGACTAAAATATACACTGAATTTAGGTATTGCCTCATTCCTCCCCACTCTCTGTTCTGAAGATTTCCTGCCGCGTTCCATCAGTTTCTTCCGTATCTCTTGACCTATTTTGGTACTTTCTCCCTTGAGTTGCTGAAATGAGACAACTTGAACCGTCGCTCAATAGCACCAGGTCCTGTGTTTTTTATCTCTTTTGTACCATAATCTAGGCAGATATAGCGAGGAGTTTTAATAGTGTAATCACAGTTGGCCGACAGCTGTCAAGCTCATTTACCTTAAGTTTGCGCTCGGCACCATCGATGGAGCGGTGTGGCAGCAGTCTCACCGTGGGAAGGACTGTGTGACAGGCCTCAGAAAGATGTCTGATGAGCTCCGTGGTCAAACAAACCCTCCTGTCTTTCAGGTGGCCCAAGAAGAAATAGCCCTTCACTGTGTTGGGAGGCGGCAAGTGTCAACAACTCGCACGTCTTCAGTAGTACACAAGACCCCCTCAGCCATAACGCACCCCCTCAACTAAGTCCCCTTTTATGCGTCCAACTCCTGATACCAATGTTAAGCTCCTCAGGATTTCGTTACCTAGACGATGCCTATTCGTGTTCTCCTCCCACACACCCACCGACCGACGTTCGGATGATGCAACAGTTTTACTACAGGGAACTTCGCGCACAGTTGTAGTAATAATGTCAGGTGACCTCAACGCTGGGGCTAGAAAACTGGACTGAGCCACTGAAAAAGGCATGATGAAGACATCAACGAAGTCCCATGTTAGCAAACTAATAGCGTTGATTGCCTTTGACAATCTTTTTCTCATAATCGCTTTTCCTGACAAGGATTGATTTCAAGCATAGACGGAGGCGGTTTCACACGGCATCCGCCAACATCAAACCAACGACCGACACGGCTAGCTCATTTTGCTGCTATAAGACATCGTTGAATAGGGTCGGTAGGGGACCACCAGTCCTTCTAGAGCACCTGTTCAGACTCCTGTCAGCCACTAGCACCGACTCGCGTTTGTCTACTTCTCACTGGCCGCAGGAAGCGGGTGACAGTAAGGCCTGGCTTACCCCCGTCGGATAATGAATACGTAAAGTAGGTATTTAGGAAAGAGTAAGCTAGATATTACTCTGAGCGTGACGGAGATACTGACCCTGAAGAAACCTGGCGTGAAATTCAACTTAAAGTAGAAAAAGGTAAAAACAATTGGTATAGTACACGTGAAAGTTAATAAAATTCGTTGGATTTATGCGGAGTCATTTTGGCCGATTGATGATAAAAGACTGATTCCAGCTAGCCAGGACCACCGTGATGCAAGATTCTTCATAGAAATGTCGAGAAGTGGTGAGTGGTGTCAGTGAGAGGAATGGAGAAGGTATCAGCTTCGGGTAGCATCTGGCAGCGCACTGCATCTCTTAAAAATTGTATACAAACACTAATGTGGTTGCTGGACCCATAGCCGAAGAGAATAGGACACTGATAACCTCCTGGGATAGGCAGCTGGAACGTGGGTAGCGCATCCTGAAGCCAATTTCTACTGGCCCACGGCGACACATTATTGGTCCACTGTTCAGCGTGCACCTGAATGCACGTAGATGTTGTTCCTCTACCCCGCTTGAAGTTGAGAAGAGTGCGTAGAACCCAAGATGATGCAAAGCAACAGAATGCGAAGGTTTTCTAGCTGACGTTTTGGTGGTTGCAGGTAGGAAATTGCCGATTGGTGCACTTGAGGTACCAAGTGGCGTATGTGAAACAGTGGTGGTTCTGACTGAGTGGTCCACGTCACCAGTCACTCCGGTCTATAAGAAATGAGAGGAGTCATCCCTTGACAACCATGGAGGAACCAGTCCGCCCAAGATACTAGGATTCGCAGTTGTCCAACACCAAACTGGGGCCTCCTTGCAGGTTCTAGGACACAGCAACACCCGCAGGCTGCCAAAACTTGCCCAATTACTCTACATGAAGGTGATGTTTGACTCTATCGACCATGAAGTGTTGTGACAGTGTCTGACTGTGGGGAGAGTATCGAGCAACCATATGGTGGTTATCGAAGCTCTCTAATCGAACTCGCGCTGCCGCGTGAGGATTCATGGAGAGCTGTCTTCAGAACCGGTGAAAACCAGCCTTGTTCGCCAGGTATCCCCACTGTCACCGTCCCTGCATAACTGCGCCATAAATGTATTAATGGACGTAATCTCAAACAGCTTTGACTCCTCAGGGTTTCGTCTAGCCACGTATCTGAAGGTCATCTCGGTGGGTTGTTGTACGCAAACGATATTGCCCTACTGCATGAACAAGCCTACAAAATACAAGGTCACTTAAACGTGTTGAGCATAAATCTGAGTATGTTCGCCTGATGTACATTTCTCACCTGTGAAATACAATATGCTGCTCTATGACTATGGGTTGTGCTCACATCTAAAACTAAAGTTTACGGTCTGGCGTTTTGAAGAACTGAGTGCAAGACCATTTACAGAGGACCATCGCGTGGCAGTAGATAGGAAATCTTTTGAAAAGGATGCACGTACGGAAACTGTCAGGTCAACAGCAAGTTTGATCAAATTGTTACCGGGTGAAGATGGTAAATCATGCTGAAAGAAATAGAGAAGACACGTGGAAAGGACAGCTCCTCAGGGAACACCAGTTACAGTATGCAGTGAGGTGAAGTGCTTCCCCCTTGGAACAGTTTATTGTTTCCTTTGAGAGAAAAATGAATGAAGTCAGCTCATTATCCGGGATGGTAAGAGTCCCGAGTAGCTTGCCCAGCAAGAGAGGTCCTGAGATGGAACAAAATAAACAAAGCAGAATGAATAAATAGATAAAACAAATAAGTGTGGTCTAAAAAGGCACACCTGAGATACTTGGCATTTCTGTCAAGATTAAAAGCAGCATTCTGAT